CGTTTTGTCATGCTTCTATTCTACCCCCTTTCAGAATAGAAGGCCACTTCCTGTATAACGCCATATCCGAGAAAACGTTCAAACGTCTTATTAGAAAGTCATGTGCTTATTAATTAATAATTTTGAAAAATATCTAGGTGTCTAGTGGTTTTTCGTGAAATTTTCTCATTCGTTGCCATTAATAATGAATTTCTGATAACACAGCATATGTTTCAACGAAAAACAGCTTAAAACCATTAATTACAAATATAAATTAATGATTAGAATATTAAATTAATAATTGACTCCTCAATAGAAGGCCCTTAAATAAAGTAGCGATGAGCCGACACAATATATAAGGGTATGCCCTTTTATTTTGGGGGAGATAATTCGAATTGCTTTCAGGAATAGACTAGAGACAAGAGAATGCACTAAAAAGTATGACGAAATTCTCACAGTCACGATATTCGACATTTTGTCTTTCTACATTGGCAATTTTTCAACATTTTCATTTTTGACATTTTTCATCCGGCATTTTCACTTTCACATTTGATAACTTAATCGGTCTCTTTGACGAGATTGAAAAAAATCACTTCACTGTTTGCTATCGAGACGTGTTTATTTTAGAGAGGCGTCTATGTCAAGCAAAAGTTACTCAGTAAAAGGTAAGGTGTGTTCACATTGGAGAGGTTCACAAGAAAATTTGCCGACATTCATACTGCCTGTTCGAGGGATCGATATTAATAGACAATAGAGTATAGATAAAAGATTGTCTAGCAATAAGATCAAGGTATGAGAGTGTAACTGTAACGAAAGCTGACATACATTCTAACAATACAACATGGAGATATCATAACACTAGTTACAGTTTACACGAACAAAAGAAGAACATTATAAAGAGTTATCAACCGAGAAATTTATCTTTTTACAAGTCTCCTTCTAATATCAAACTGCCTGACTAGGGGTAGCACTTTAACTTTCTTTTACTTTAATAATGTAAAGTAAAGTAAAGGAGATCTACTTTATCCGAAAAGTAAAGTAAAGTAAAGTGAAGTATCTCTAACTTTAACGAACAAGTAAGATATTATAAAATAAGATAAAGTAAAGTATGTAGTTGATGGTTATTGATTTACTAGTTTATTATCAGACATTAATCATATTTTAATACATCAAAAGTTGTGTCGAATTACGGATTGAAGGCTCGAAAAAATTTGAACCTGATTTTATTACATTGAGAGTCAGCATTGAACCCTGAATATTTTTCATAATTTTATTTTCTATTTTATCATAATCCAACTTTTCACATATGAGGTCCCACTCAGGTATCGAAAATACATTTTTTCCGCTGCTCTGTCACAGATCTTTAAGATTCAAACAGTACCAAGTGTACTGATTACAAATATCTCATTTGTTTTCGAAAGTGCTCAGATAATAAGAAAGATTGGAAGCATTCCTTAGCACCATTACAAACTAGCTTTTATTCAGAAATTTTACTGAAATACTACCAGATTCGTTTCATCGAGATCAAAACGGACTTGACTTGATCAAAAATTCATTTTCTAACGACACATCCATTGGAAAACAATTTCGTAACTAATTTCTATGAAATATGCATTATTTAATGGGTTAGCTCAAGGTTGACCATTAGGTTAACCCACAAAATTCACCTGAAACTTTTATTGGGTAGGTTGGAGATGGAATTATATACGGTTGTGGACAAAAGTAGGTACCCCCCTAAAGTGATATTATATTCCATCATTTCGAACTGATCTTTTGGGAAATGTCGGCCTCATTGAAACTGATTGCAAATACCATCACGCCCTCAATTGGTTGACGTTTGCTAAAGATAGCACTTGTACAGCATCATCGCCTTACGAATGTCACATCTCGATCATTTTTCGACATTTACTTTCGCGCAACCTGTCATTTGAAACCTCAAAGATGCAACAATCATTAGTAAAATTTTGGTGGGAAATAGCGGAGATCTGAAGTTCGAACTGAAAACTTCTACCAAGTATAAAAGATTTGTTTTCAGTTTGGAATCGATAACTTGAGCTAAAATCGATCTATGCAGCGGAACATTGTAGCAATGACTCACTATAAATCCATGGGTTTGTGGTAAAATATTCAGAACCGTAGATTTATGTAGAGCTGAGATATAGTCATTGGAAGAATTCACCACACCACACTTTGCCTATAAATGGAGCAACGATATTATGTGGTGATCTTTGGGCCCAAGCAACTAGATAAGCAGGGCAACAACTAGCACCAACAAAGGCAAAAACTCATTTTAGGAGGACGAAATACTGCGAACTAAAAGCTTTTGAGATGATATGTTCCCTCCATGTCTTCAATAAACCGTTGGCACTGCTTATAAGCGAGTAGAACTGTCAACTACTAGTGAATTTACGCTCATCTTTCCGGAAATACTCTTTTTCAGTCAGAATAATTCAGAGGGTGTGTACAAAAAGATGATTCCATGAAGCAGAAACTCTATGAAATTAGCAAAATGGTTTCGAGATGAAATGCTTCCTAACAAAGAAGTATATCGTGCATAGATACGCTACCAGGGGAGGATTGCAGAAATTGAAGTGAAATACCATCTTAAAAACTTTTAGTCCGCAGTTTCGTCCTCCTAAAATGAATTTTTGATATTTTGGCGCTAGTTGTCCTCCTGCATACCTAGTTGCTTGGGTCCAAAGCTCGCCGTATAATACCGTCGCTCCATTGATAGACAAGCTGTGACATGGTAAACTCTTTCAATAGCTCTATATCAGCTCTGCATAGAGCTACGGCTCTGAATATTTCACCACAAATCTGTGAGTTGATGGGTCATTGCTACAATTTTCCACTGTATTGATCGATTTTAGCTCAAGTTATCGATTCCAAGCTGAAAACAAGGATTTTCTACTTGGTAGAAGTTTTCAATGCGAACTTCAGATCTTCGCTATTTCTCACCAAAATTTTACTAATGATAGCTGCATCTCTGAACTTTTGACTGACGGATTGCTCGAAAGTGAATGTCGAAAAATGATCGAGATATGACCTTGATAAGGCGATGACGATGTACAAGTGCTCTCTTTAGCAAACACCAACTAACTGAGGGCGTGGTGGTGTTTGCGATCAGTTCGAAATGATGGAATATAATATCTCGTTGTGGGGAGGGGGGAGATACCTACTTTTGTCCGCCAGTGTGAATGATCTGATCAAATCAGCTGCTTGGGTTAGGGCTAACTCATGGAAGTCCTAATTCAAAAGGTACCCATATCAATCCAATTCAATGAGTATCTCTGCCCACATAGGCTTACTCAGTTTTGTTTGTTAAATTCTGATATTACACTTTTGTGGAGTCAAATGAGGATTTTTCTATTCTAAAACCATAGAATATTAGTCAAAAAAGGGGCAAACAAGGTCTCAAGGATAGAATTTTGAGCAAAAGTGCTGTACTAGACATGAATTTTCACCTGGAAAATATTGTCACTAGAAAAATCACATTTAGTTGCACACTTGGTAAAGAAATCTGACCACGGCACTTGTAGAAACTCTGATTTCGTAATGCTAACAAAATATTATGAGAGATAATCAAACCTAATCGTGGTGGTATTTGTCAATTGCTGATAGAATGAATCGAATATTCAACACGTTCTCATAGTTGCTAGTAGAGAAAAGAATGCTATGTCAAATGAATCTATTGTCGACGAAATAGGACCGTATTTTAATGAAATTTCTAGTCAAAAGCTAGTTTTTAAGACGTTCAGAAGATTCTTTCTATCTTTCTTATTACCTAAGTACTTTTGAAAACAAATGAGATATTTGTAATCAGCTCACTTGATACTATTGCATTATAAAGATTTGTAATAGGACAGTGATAAAAGTTTTTTTTTCGACACCTGAAGGGAACCCTAGGTGTGAAAAGTTGGGTTATGATAAAGTAGAAAATAAAATTTTGAAAAATAGTGAGGGCTCAATGCTGATTCTCAAGATATTTAAAAATAGGTTCAGATTATTTGAAGCTGTCGGTCCATATTTCGACGCAACTGTCGACGTATTAGAATGTGCTTAATGTGTGATAATGAACTAATAAACCAATAATCATCAACTACATGCTTTACTTTATCTTATAATACTTCATCTAACTTTTTCTGTAAAGTAAGAGATACTTCACTTCACTTTACTTTACCTTACTTTACTTTTCGGGTAAAGTAAGTCTAATTTACATTACTCGTTAAAGAAAAGATAAAGTGCCACTCTAATGCCTGACTTACTTCGTGGTTCTTCAATACCGAGAGAGAAGAATCTTTGTAAAGTATCTACCTATAACTCAAATAATTTTTTTTTTGTTTATGTTGTTGATAACTATCATCTGTATAAATAAGAAAATCTATAAGTCTCTATTATATTCCTATACATTTATGATCGATTTACTCGAATCATTTCAATGTCGGGTCATCAAATTTGATTTTGACAATGATGACTTTGATATATCACTTTGTTCAGTTGTACATGGACGATCATTTATAACTATTGATTAAATCATTTTTGAATTATAGTTCGAACATTAAGCAACATCAATTATATATTGTAAGAAAATCTAACTTAAGAATGAAAACTTGATATTGAGAAGTAATTTCCTATGGAAAATTGAAGAAGATAGTTTTCTAGACAAGAATAAATCTTATCAGATTACAAATTTATGTGATACACTGATGAAACATCTCTTCATACTAAAACAGACTATGATTTATTGCAAATTTATGATTATAATATTTAGAGTAGTCTGACAATTTTTTTTAAGTTGATTAGATAGAAGAAAAGGTTCTTAGAACTCACTGAAATGACAACTGTTAATCTATCAAAGAACTCTATCTAGCACATTATTTGGCTTCGTGTTTTTATTGTTGATCATAAATATAGCATTTAATTTGACTAAATAATCACCACGATGTTCTTTTGTTGTTTCTACAGATACTGCATCAAGAATGGCCTCTAGTACTATCGCAAATAATGACCAAATTAACAAAATGATACCATCATCAATATTCTCGCATCGAATATTATCAGCAATAAATTCACCACATTATCAAAGAGTTTCATTATTTGTTAGTAATGTATATGCAAAAGCTATATCTGCACATAAAACAGCAATATCGTCATCATCATCATCATCTGATCTATGTGATTTTACATTTGGTAATCCACGTGATATGGCATTACCTGCGTTGATATCATCATATCACAAATATGTAGAACCATTAAATCCTAAATGGTATGCTTATTGTACTATAACGAATACTAATATACAACCTTCTCGTAAAATTATTGCATTAAATTTATCGAAAAAATGATCACCATTATCATTTGAATATGAAGATATTTATTTAGTAACAGGAAATTTTGGTGGAATTTATACATGTTTATCTATGTTGTTAAATAAAGACGATGAAGTCATAGTTCCTATTCCATCATGGTTTTGTTATGAACCAATGATAATAGCATGTCAAGCTATATCTATTGAAGTTAATATAAATATGAATACCTATGATTTAAATATTGATCATATAAAAAATAAAATAAATAATAAAACAAAAGTACTTATCATTAATTCACCTCATAATCCAACAGGTAAAATATATTCATTAACTACATTACAATTATTATCAAATATATTATTGGATGAATATCATAAACGTCAACAAAAATATGGTTCTGATGCTCAACCTATATGGTTAATATCTGATGAAGCATATAATCATATACTATTTCATAATAATGAATTTATTTCTCCTGCTACAGTATATCCATATACATTTATATGTTATACTTATGCTAAAACATTATTAAATCCGGGTACTCGATTGGGATATGTCGCATTATCAAATCAAATGTCTTTAGATTATCGTTTATTATTTCGTAAATATTTACCTCGAACATTAACAATCAATGGATATACCGTACCTGATTGTGTAACACAATATATGATACAAGATATTGAAACACTATCTATTAGTATTGATGTACAACATATGGAAAAGAAATTAAATATGATATTAGATATATTATTATCAATAGGCTATAAAATACCTGTAAAACCACAAGGAACATTTTATATACTTGTTAAATCACCTTTAGAAAATGATCAAACATTTTGTGAACTATTATTGAAATATAATATTTTATGTTTACCGGGTTCAGTATGTGGTATACCTGGATATTTTCGTGTATGTTTGACTGCAAATGAAGATATGATTGAAAAAAGTCAATATGGATTTAAAGAAGCATATCAACAAGCCATCTCTTCTTCTAACACTGATAACAATATTGATTTTGTTAACATTCAAAATTACACATAAATATTAATTATATTTCATTTGATTGTATTTTTTATTAGAATTATAATATAGAACGAATATTATTGAATATTAAACCAATTTCAGGACGACCAACTACTCTGAAAAAAATAAAGGAGGTTTGCAGAACCTTTTAGACCGCTAAAAGGCTCTGTGTTTTACCCGATAGCAGAACCCCTGAAAAAGGATTCTGGACAAGAAAAAATAGTTCTGAAATCCTCGTCGAAATCTTTTGGGGTGTGAGTGTTGTCGAATCTGATTGTGATCACATGACGAAGACAATGCATTTTCAAGCCAAACTAAAGTAATACCAGATCGATTTTCTGATAATCGTCGTACTGAAATGTTGCGAATCAATTTGAACTTATCAGTTCGATTCATTAATGATGCTCTGCACCGCAGTTAGATGATACTATAGTTGGAATTAAATATAAAACGAAAGAGTATAGAACTGGACTTAAGATTTTTTTTTATCTTCATGATCAATTAAAAACATTCTTCGTTGCAATTTTATATTTCTTCGTTTTATTTTCAATCATGTTTTTGCAGCCTTTGTGAGAGACATCTTCACCTGTTACTTCTCAATCAACAAGTCACTCTTAATCATATTTTGCCAACAGTGAGTACATAGTTAGTTACGTTTGATCATCATCCTATTAAGGAAAGGAGAGAACAAATTTTAATAATCAATGCAGTGGCGTACGCAGAAATTTTTCAAGGGGGGGCCCAACTTCGTAGGGGGGGGACCGGCCATGGCACAAAAAATTTTTTATCACGTGAAAATATTTTTTCCTGTACTCCCCTCCAGGACTTTTTCGTCTCAAGGGGGGAGCCCGGGCCCCCTCGGCCCCCCCTGCGTACGCCACTGAATCAATGAGGGTGTGAGTAGAAGTGGGTATGAGTTTGTGGATGGGTGTAGCTGTGGTCTTTGGAGCTCAGGTTGCAGTGTCTATTTTATTTACACTCACACCCTTCTCTAAAAAAATGAGAATAAAATATTCATAGCATTATATACAAAAAACTGATTTATTCTGTTTCTATGATCAATCTCAATGATGCTACATGTATATCACAGACCAAATGAATAATTAATGAAGAGTATGAAGTGTACAATATTAAATCTTTCTTGGTAGCACGATATTTTATTTATTTATTATATATCCGATAGAATTAATAAATAAAAAATGTTTTAGAAAGAAATTATCAAAAGAGAAGACTTCTTTTTTTCATTACTCTAACTAGTAGAAAGTAGATATTTGTGTAGAAGCTCTGCGTTGGATGAGACATTCAAAATTACCTGATATCGAATTCGAAAAAAATTTTGTAATTTTTTTTTCTCATAACAATAGTAAATTTTTGTCTGATAACGTCTCTATTCAAGATTTTTTATATGAAGAAAGATTGATTGAAAAATTTAAATGTATTTTTGTTGTCGATGTTTTCTTTTTTAAATAGAAATAGTTTCTGATTTCAGATAAGTCTGTGTACTCCAGCGTCATACATGTTGCATAATGAACATCGCATTTAACGTCACCAACATGTATAGAACGTGGTAACGTAAAGGGTGTGGATGTGGGTAACTGATTGCGTAGATGTGAAATTAGTAAGATCGACAGTTATTCGAAAAAGAATACCTTCTTATTATAGATTTTATTTCAAATTGTTGTTAATGATTTATTGATTACATAATTATTTTGATACATATAATGATCGTCAGGTTTATGTTGTTTACAAATAATGTTAAAAGTGACTAGGTTGAAAATATTCGTAATAGGTCTAAAGTCTCCGATTATAAAATATTCCGAAACAATAAAACTTTAGTTCGAGATATTGCATATTTTTATTGATTTCTCTCATTTGTTTTTGATTTAATCTCAAGATTAAAATTATTCTATACATTATTATAATGAATTGTGGCTTTTGTCATTTGGAAGTATCTTTCCTATACTGAAATTATTATTCGAATAATAAAATATAAGACAATCGATAAAACTTAGTTGAGGAGATAGTAACAAAACTCAGTTCCTGAGAATCGGACAATGACGATCTCTTCATGGTAACATACGACTATACACTAAAATCTCTACTAGAAGGCACTTCTCTAAAAAAAAATGTGCTATTTTGTTAATAACTGTTAGACTTGAACTCTTACGCGCTGCCTTAATTTTTTAAAGCTTCAACTCTCTATACTGAAGATCTTCATATATTAAACACTTTTAAATGGTATTGACAGTGTTCACAAGAGAGAAATTTCACTATATATTGAATCGTATGAATAAAATATGAATATTTCGAATGACTATGATTGTTAAAAATTAAATTCAATGTAAACTTGGCGCTGAATTATCATTAAACATTCAAATGAATCCTCGCATTGAAAAACTTTGTTTACCTCGTCATCGACGTGATGCTATATGGAAATTTTGGCAGCCAAGTATAATTACTCTTGTTTTCTTTCTATAGCATTTAATAAATTATTAATTGTTTATTTTCAGATGCTAAATTAGAAAAAATTTATCCACCTATATATTGGAAAAACCTTGATTATAAATCTATTCATATAAAAAAGACAATTAAAGTTAAAGAATCGAAAAAATTACATGATGAAAATTTATGTTTGAATGCATGTAATTATACAACATTAATCTATAAACCTACATCAGAAAAACAATTCAATGAAAAAGGATTTCATATATTTGTTGATTTTGAACATAATGGATTAGAACATGCTACGTGGAAAGAATCAATTGAAGATAGTCATTTTTTAAATGATAAAATTAAAAAGAACGATGAATCATCAATAATAGAATTTTCATGGTCAAATTTGAATCATAAAAAACAAATTTTCAATGATCAATATTTAAAACGACAAGAACTTATTCGATATATTAAAAATCATATTCAAAAAGATAATTTATTTGAATTAGATAAAAATTCATATCCTAATCAACCTATATCAATATCACGTCGCCCACGAGATACTCTTCATATTGATTTTTATCCAGCAGCTTGTTTTCAAGGATCAAAAACTGAAGCAACATTTAAAACATTTTATCATCGAAAATATTTAGTAAAAAAAAATTTTTTTAATCTTATTATCATTGTTTTCTTTATTTTTTTAAGTTACCTCAACATTTACGTGAACATACATTAAAAGATCTTATTACAATTGCTAATAATATTCAACTTGATATCGATATAATTGGTCATTTTGTTTTACATCCAGTAGAATTTTATCTATTTTATGAAAGAAATTTTCAATCTTAACTTTTTCTTTTTTTTTTTTTTTAGAATGAATTATCTAAACATGAAATTAAAATGTTTGAATTAACATCAGAATTTGGAGATATTTATGAAGGTCATATTATTCGTATAAATAAAGAAAAACTTGTTCTTTTATTGGCTTCTACATATCATTCAAATATTAAACTTGTACAATCGCATGATTTTAAAAATATAATTAATGATTCAACAAATTTTGATATTGGAATAAATTCAGTATATATATGTATTCATTTTTACAAAACTACGCGAAAATAATTTGTCAGAATTGGAACTGAAATTGATAGTAAAATAGAATCCGTAGAAATCTCAACTAAATTATCAAATAGACATTGTTAAAAGGAATCCAAGCGGGGATCCCAAGTGATGAGAGAATGTCACGTTCTCAGAAATAGAAGAAGAATCTAGGATTAGCTAAGGCTCTAGATAGCAGATCGATCTAATACATAGTTGTTGCACTCAATAGTTCGAATGTCAAATATAAAACAAATTTTTATTTTTTTATTTTTAGCAATCAAGAATAGAACAAATTGTTATTGATCATGTTCGAGAATATTTGCAAATAAATAATGATTATTCTATTGAACAAATACGACGTATACAAATTGAATTGGAACCTTTAATGAATAAAGATAAACGTCGAGTTATTGTTCATTTAATCACGAATGATGAAATTATTGAAAATTTAACTTTTGAAATTACACGTGAACAAGAACCAAAACTATTTGATAATGAATATGAAAAAAATCTTTATTTTTTACAAGGTATTAATGAAGAGAAAATTATACAGTCTGTTGAACATAAACTTAAAGAATTATTTACTAAACGATATTTTTTAATACATGAAGAAGAAAATCATAATTCATATTTACAATTAACATTAGATATAGAATATGATACATTAAATAGTATTAAAAAAATGTTATATGCTTATGCTAATCATCAATTAACAACATATTCACGTGAAGAATGTATGCGTATAGGAATTGAATATAGTTTTGATGATTTATTAGATAAACTTGATTCTAATGAATTACAATCTATTGATGATAAACAAATACAAATGATAATAGATGATATACAAATACGATTACGTTTACAAATTGAACGACGTTTTGTATGATTTCAGTTTTGAAGTTTTTCTTTTTTTTACATTGAATTACTTAAGTTGTGATTTTGATAGAGATAATCTCAACTTTTGTGAGCTTTTATCTGTCAAAATTACTAATTTTATTTGATATATCCTAAGTAATTATTTTATTTTATAGAAAGCTGAAACTACAGCTAAAATTCTTTTAATTGGTCCATCAATGAAGAAAGGTAATTGTTTTCTTTTTTTTTTGGTATCAAAAGAAAGTCCTATTGTTTTTTAATAATTTATTAGAAACAAAATCTATTGGCAAAGAAGTGAATATTTTGAATCATCATCGGGAAATATTTATAAATCAATTGGACACTCATACTTCATCATCTAAAATGAAAGATATACAGTAAAAAGTTTTTCTTTTTTTTTTTCTCATTATCTTCTAAATATTGTGTTTCACATTTTATTCCCATAGAGATTGTGTCTAATAGTTTGTTTTTTTTTCTATTCTAATTAATAGACGTAATCATGGTAATGTTATCTTGCATGAAGAAATTGATGGTGGACCAAAAAGTTTTGATCGATTACCGATGAGTATTGATTCATTAACAATACTAACACGTATTCAACAACGAAA